CGACATGAACTCGGCGCTGAGGTCTTCTACCAGTACTGAGTGGCATGGCCCGCTCACCTCTCTGAGCCCGGACGGTAGGATCTGGCAGCCAAAGGCTGACTATGCCACGGATGCTGAACGCACGTCCGCGTCGGCATATATGGAGAGTGACCGTTTCCGTCCGACCGGTGTTGAACAATTGTTTGTTTTTGAAAACATGTTTTGCAACCTCGTCTCCAAGTCTCCCCAACCTCATGATGTGATGGACGCGACCTGTGCCACTGTTGATACAGGATGCCAACGGCTCGCCATTGGAGCACGCACCCTTCGAGAGTTCGCTCAACATCTCCCTGAACCCCTGAAGATTACCCTTACTCCAGAAACTAACAGGTTCAGGAGCGTGCATCAGACCTCAGTCACGACCAAGGTTGCCACCATTCCGTGTTCCTTGGGTAACAAGGGAAGCTTCCTGAAGCCCGCCGTGTTTGAAAACGAGGAAAGCTCTGGTGCGCCCTTCCTCATCTCACTCAGCTTCTTACTTCATTGTCATGGAGAAGTTATTCTCTGTCATGAACAAGGCCTCCAGTTACGACTCCGAGGAACTTCAGAACCAGTACCCCTTCACCTTGGACCAACTGGCGCTTTACGAATTCCACTTCAACAATACAACCAGGTGCAAAAACAAGAACTTGAACGAGAACAGAAATCGATGAACCAGAGTACCTCGGTCGAGTTTGAGGTCTTGAAATTGCAGGACGGCTGCATGGAACCGCCGAAGCTGAGTACAATTCAAGCCTCGAGCCCACTAGCTACTCCGCATCCAGCCGCTTGCCATGCAGACCGCGGGCCAGAAGCGAGTTCGCGCCGGTCCAACTCCCGAGGAAGAGGACTTCCAACAACATCGAGTCCTTCAATCGTGGTTCCGCCTGATGAGGCGCTTCCTCCTGGCGCTCATGCCCCTTCAGCAGATGCTGGAAAGGTTCATGGATCACATGCTCAGTACAAAACCTCACCGGGAGGCCCTGAAGGAGATGATCCGGTCCTTGCCAGACGAGGATCTCCCCATGATCCAGAATGTGGCCCGCCAGGAGATGAATCGACGAGAGGACACCGGCCATCGACCTCAGGCAGACGGATACTGGTCCAACCTCAGCGAGACCAGCACTCATCCAGCTCGTCGACCACGACCTCCTCCAGACCCAGTTCTCACCGAAAGATGCCGGCAGATCAACAGTCTACCAGGTATCGAGATGATCTTGGAACCACGTCCAAGATGCCAGTGTGCCCTTCAGTGCAAGATCCATCTCAGCGATTCGGGTCCAACGGGACACAACTACAAGAAGCTGTACTTCCGCTGCCCCTTGGAGCAGGGACATCAATGCCGATTCGTCAAGTGGTGCGACCAACAGCCTCTCTTGAGCCTGGAAAGCTGGCGTCACCGGCAACAGCCCGGCGACGAGCCTGTGAGCTACGCCCAGATCTTGGAGGCCATGATTCAAACCAAATGCCAGCACAAGGAAACCCATCGGAAAGGTTCGAACGCCTTCCTCACCAAGGTCACCTGCAGGATCTGCAACAAGGTCATCAAGGTCCGAGAAGATCGGAAAGATGGAGGGGACCAAGTCCAAGGCCAGCACGACATCCTCAAGCTCGGTACCACACTCTCGTCAGGGAATCCCCTCACCAGCGACTCCTCAGACCACCTCGGACGGCACCGACCTGGAGCACCTGACCGACTATCAGGAATTTCAAGAATATCTCCGTTGGAAGAACCAACGGCAGCCTCCGAACCGGGAGGACCAATGAAGCAGGTGACTCCGAAGCTGGAACGGAAGCTTCGTGCTGCAATTAAGAAGGCAACGGCTTTTTGGCGAGAGCTTCAGCTGCTCCTGGCCGATATGCCTTTGCAGTGTTGGGCCCAGGCCCTAAATGACGAAATTTGCCAGGAGTTCACTATGAACCCAGCCGGCACAAAAAGATCTCGCGAAATAGCAGAAGTTATGGGATTGACAGTTAAACAACTTAAGACGGTTGCTGAAGTGTATAATCCTGGTTGTTTTCAGAAGATCACTGGTCGTTTTCACTTGTCTCCCGGCCGCGCTTTCGATTTGATTCTAGGAGATGACTTGCTGTCCACAAACAAACAAAACGAAGTCTGGCAGTATGTTCAAACGACCAAACCAGGACTTGTTTGCATCGCACCACCTTGCAAAATGTACACTCAACTTCAAAACCTTTCTAAGGAGAAACGCGCTCGACTGCCTGATCTCATGAAACGATACTTGAAAAACAAGGCAGAAGGTGATAGGTTACTGACTTTCGCCATCCGGTTGTGCGAATCCTGATGACCTTGGGATCAAGTTCATATTTGAGCACCCGCATGCCGCATCATCCTGGAAACATCGTGCCATGGAGCGGCTGCTGGCTCGACCGAATGTCATCTACACGAAGGCTGATCAATGCCAGTATGGACTACAGGGTCAATCTGGCCTTCCTCAAAGAAAACGAACTGGGTTCGCAACAAACTCAGAGGCCATATCTCAGGCCCTATGCAAGCTTTGTCCTGGCAACCACGAGCATGAGGTTATCATTGGAGGTAATCGTTCCCAAAGATCACAGGTCTACCCGGAGAAACTCCGAGCAGCCATCCTGAAGGCCTACAGCCAGTCCATCAACGTCGCTCATGTTGAAACAGTCAGCTCGGAAAGCATGCTGGCCGAGAACCACAGGCTAAACTACATCATCGACACTGAGTTCAGGGCGCTGAAGAGCCTACAACCAGAAGTACCTGTTGGTCTTACAGAATGCCAAGACCCCGATTCTCGAGTTCCTGACGGCCCAGATTCTCGCCTACCGGAAGTACCGGCCTACGACACCGCCGAGATCTTCGCACATGGAGAGGATCAAGAAACCCATGAACCAAACGGATCAGGAGACCAAGAGGATGATCTGGAACCACCACACGAAAGGGAACATGAAGAAGGCGAAGCTCAGGAAGTACCTGAACAACAACTACCACTTCATTCACGTTTTCCGCTGGAACGCCTTCTGCACCGAGCACACGTTGGTCTGGGACACCCGACCCCAGATCGATTTGTCAGGATCCTTAGGTACGCCAAAGCCAAACCCGAAGTCATTGAAGCTGCCAAGCATCTCCGATGCAGTGTCTGTCAACGACACTCCCAAGTGAAGCCTGCTCGAAGAAGTGCTCCACCGAAAGAACTGGCCTTCAACGAATGCATTGGGGTGGACGTCATCTTCCTGCCAACCCTCGGTAGTCGGTCACGCCCAGCTCTAAACATCATCGACTGGTCCAGCAAGTTTCAACTCATGATCCCCATGGATAACAAGAAACCAGGCCATGTACGAGAGGCCCACAGACATTGGCTACGTCTATTCGGCCCTCCAAAACGAATGGCCCTGGACCTGGGACGTGAATTCCGAGGAGCCTTCGCAGAACAAGCAGAACAAGACGGAACTTTTGTCGACCCCTCGGCAGTTGAGGCTCCACATCAACGAGGCATCACTGAACGTCACGGAAAAACCTTTAAGTATCTCCTCCAGAAGACCATGGACACCTTCAGCTGTGCCAACATGAAGGAGTGGGAGAAAATGGTCGACATCACCATGATGACCAAAAATAGAATGATGAACGTTGGAGGTTTTAGCCCCAGCCAACGGGTGTTAGGCTTCAATCCCTTCCTACCCGGAGGTCTTCTTAGTGGAGATGATGGTCACCGAGGACAACAACCAGAAGCCAAAGTCGGCGACCTCAGTGTCGAACGGGCCATGAAGCTTCGAAAGGCTGCTGCACATGCCTTCATCGAAGCAGATGCCAGTAACTCCCTCCGAAGAGCAGTAGCTTCGGGCCCCCGACCCATCCTGGAGTATGACATCGGCGAGATTGTCTACTTCTTCCGAATGGGAGCTGACAAGAAACTGAAGTTCAAACCATGTTACTGGCACGGGCCGGCAAGAATCATCATGATCGACCAACCTAGCACCATTTGGTTATCATACCAATCTCAACTGGTCAAAGCCAGCCCAGAGAGAATCCGAAGACCCTCGTTGGAAGAGAACATGGCACTATCTGGATGGTTGGAAGATCTCGTGCAGCTGAAGAAGGACATTGTCACGGAACCGATTCGAGGATTCCTGGACCTGTCCGACCAGCCGCTCCCCGAGATCTTAGACGATGAAGCCAACAATGAGGAGTACACTCCGACCGAACCAGATGAAACTCCAGACCAGAACATTCCAATGGAACCAGCACTACTACCAGGACTACAAGAACCCATGGGCTACCCAAGACCATTGAAACGCTATCGAGAAAAAGGGCCACAAGATAATTTGGTTGATGATGATGGACAATCTCCCCAACCAGAACCTGATGACGAACGACCAGGAGAACCTCAACGAGATGAAGAGGTCCTACAACCACCCGAACCAGAACAGGAACGAGAAAAGAGATCACATGAAGAAGAAGAGCTGGATGAACATCCCAGCAAAAGATCAAGATTGGAATTCTTAGAAGCCTACCTTCTGAAGGTGGAAAACCTGATCAAGGGAAGACAAAGAAAAGAAGTTCGACTACAAGAACTTAACCACCGCAACCAGAAATGCTTCAAGAATGCCATTGGCAAGGAGATCCAGAATAACATCAACATTGGTGCTTACACCATTGTCAGCCCCGAAGAATCCGCTCGAGTCAGACAAACCATGCCGAACAAAATCATGGAAAGTCGACTGGTCCTCACACCCAAGCCACTGGAACCACACGAAGTGGAAAAGGCCAAAGAAGAAGAAATACTTCTGGATTGGGACACCGATGAACCCTGCAAGGCCAAGGCTCGCCACGTCATGAAAGGCTTCAGTGAAGAGGGGGCTGAGAACATTGAGGCGACCACTCCACAGGTGACTAGAGAAGGCACCCTCAC